TCCTCCAAACACGGCGAGTTGAGTTGATGCCAAAGAGCTCCATTTTGGTCTCATCTGACCACAACACTTTCACCCAGTTCTCCTCTGAATCATTCAGATGTTCATTGGCAAACTTCAGACGGCCCTGTATATGTGCTTTCTTGAGCAGGGAGACCTTGCAGGCGCTGCAGGATTTCAGTCCTTCACGGCGTAGTGTGTTACCAATTTTTTTCTTGGTGACTATGGTCCCAGCTGCCTTGAGATCATTGACAAGATCCTCCCGTGTAGTTCTGGGCTGATTCCTCACTGTTCTCATGATCATTGCAACTCCACGAGGTGAGAACTTGCATGGAGCCCCAGGCCGAGGGAGATTGACAGTTATTTTGTGTTTCTTCCATTTGCAAATAATCGCACCAACTGTTGTCACCTTCTCACCAAGCTGCTTGGCGATGGTCTTGTAGCCCATTCCAGCCTTGTGTAGGTCTACAATCTTGTCCCTGACATCCTTGGAGAGCTCTTTGGTCTTGGCCATGGTGGAGTTTGAAATCTGATTGATTGATTGCTTCTGTGGACAGGTGTCTTTTATACAGGTAACAAGCTGAGATTAGGAGCACTCCCTTTAAGAGTGTGCTCCTGATCTCAGCTCGTTACCTGTATAAAAGACACCTGGGAGCCAGAAATCGTTCTGATTGAGAGGGGTTCAAATACTTATTTCCCTCATTAAAAAGCAAATCAATTTATTACATTTTTTACATGCGTTTTTCTGTATTTTTTTGTTGTTATTCTGTCTCTCACTGTTCAAATCTACCATTAAAATTATAGACTGATAATTTCTTTGTCAGTGGGCAAACATACAAAATCAGCAGGGAATCAAATACTTTTTTCCCTCACTGTATGTAAATGTGATATTTCAGTTTTTTATTTTTTATTTGAAAAAATGTATACACCTGTTTTTGCTTTGTCATTATGGGGTATTGTGTGTAGATTGATGAGGATTATTTTTTTTTTTAATCAATTTTAGAATAAGGCTGTAACGTCACAAAATGAGGAGAAAGTCAAGGGGTCTGAATACTTTCCGAATGCACTGTATGTCCCTATTGAGCAAAGGCCTGACAAAAATAGCTACCGTCAACCTACAGCCCAATAAGCCTCTCCAAAGCCCCAGTGCATCTGTCCTTGATAGACTCATCTCTACCCAAGGTTCAGCCTCTCCCAGTGGTTATGGCAGTAAAAGCCCTGATTCTGTTCCCTTATATCATTCTAATGAAGTCCCTGCAGGGGGAATCTGTTTCAAAGAGCTATGGAAGTCCTTCTAATGATGGCTCAACTTTTGGAAATGATGGTGGTGCTTATAGCAACTTTGAGGCCCAGAGTGAACAAGTCCCTAACGTCAAGCAGCCGTTCAAAGTGTCTCAAACTGGCTTTGATGCCGTAATGACACAGTCCCCAATGCCCACCAACACAATCTGTCTATGTCTCCAGTGTACCAAGAACTGCCGCATCCAGCTCTTCTGGCCTAGATAGACAAGGCTTCTCTAGTCAATTCATCTTATTTCCCAAGCCCACTAGTAGCCAGCCCTTGGATCAAAGGAGACTTCTCCCTTCTCTACGCAATAGTTGAAAGTCTCCATCAGCAAGAAACCAAATGTGACCTCCAGACCCAGTGTCTAGCACCCTGTATCCATCCAGTGGCTAAGACTTTACCTCAACTGGAGGTTTTCCTCAGAGCAGTGAAGGCTATGTAAATACTCAAGAGAATCAGCCCACTCACCATCCCATCTAAAGGGCAAAAATTCCTGAACATTGTCTCAGAGCAGCATGTCAAAGTCCCTGTTAAACAAGGGGCAAAAGATGTGGCTTACAAACCCTGTGGCTTTGGAAATGACATTAATGATGTTGACTCCTCTTTTGGAGCTAATTGAGGTGACTCTAACAGTTATGACTCTAACAGTCTACAATGAACAAACCGCCAATATCCATCAGCCAAGCAAAGTATCACAAAATGGCCATATCCTTTGCCATTCTTATATCGGTGAAGGCCATGTGAGTGCCTCAGGAGTTGGCCCCACTCAACCAGCCATCCCATTACCCAAGCTGTCGGGTCAAGGAAAGATATACGTAATCCGAAACACAGACAAAACAAACTGCAAATGCATCCAACAAGTTTGTAGAGTCACAAGACATTGCGTGCTAGGAATATGGGACCAAATACTAAACTTCTGCCTAAATGTAATACACTATAAGTGAATTTGTCCAAATACTTATGACACCTTCAAAATGGGAGGACTAGATACATAAAGTGCATTCATTTCTAAACGGTAAAACAGATATGGAAATACCCTCAAATAAAAGGTGACGTTCTGTACTGTCGCCTCATATAAAACACTTGATCTCAAATCCAAAATGCTGGACAATATAGCCAAATTTAAACTTTTAGCTTCACAGTCCAAATAAATACGTAGGGGAGTGTATGTTCAAAATTAAAAACATGTATTTGAAATAACTTCTAAATTCAGCAATTGTGAACAATATGGTACTCTGATTAATCAATTTCCCCCCAGGTTCTGTCCTAGCTGGTCTCTGGTGCTCCTCACCGTGACTCTCTCCCAGTGTTCATCTCTCCCCAGGTGTCCCTACCAGGATGACCGTTACTTGACCGTGCCCATCCCTTTGGACACCCCCTATATCCTTCCCGGAGGCTTCTTCTCCCACTACAAGTGCTTCGTCCTCAAGATGTTCACCTTTGTGGATCCGACATCTATGGCCCCCATGAAGGAGAGGGTAATGAGTGCAGTCCAATCCCAAATCACCTCAGAACCCCTATAGGCACATGTATAGATCTAAGAAGGTTGTGTTAGTTCGGTCTCTCGCTTGTGGACTTCAGTGCACAACACATCAGCTGTCTGTGAAAAAACCTTTCCAAGCCAAACCTTCATATCATAACCGCTACACAAAGCCTACATCGTTGTCACCATACTAGCTAACTTCATAGTCAACATAGTTACTACACCTAACACGTTAGTAAACCCGCTACAATCATGCAGTCAGTGGTGTAAAGTACTTAAGTAAAAATACTTTAAAGTACTACTTAAGTAGTTTTTTTTCAGGTATCTGTACTTTACTATTTATATTTTTTACAACTTTTACTTCACTACAATCCTAAAAGTACTCGTTACGTTTTGAATACTGCGCAGGACAGGAAATGGTCAAATTCACGCACTTTGATCTGGCAGACTCACTAAACATATAGTAAATGCTTCATTTGTAAATTATGTCTGAGTGTTGGAGTGTGCCCCTGGCTATCCGTAAATAAATAAAAACAAGAAAATTGTGCCGTCTGGCTTGCTTAAAATAAGGAATTTGAAATGTTTTAAACTTTTACTTTTGATACTTAAGTATATTTAAAACCAATACTTTTAGACTTTTACTAATGTAGTATTTTACAAGGTGACTTTCACTTTTACTTGAGTTATTTTCTATTAAGGTAGCTTTACTTTTACTCAAGCATGACAATTGGGTACGTTTTCCACCACTGCATGCAGTACAGTGTACAGTCAGCAAGCAGTTTAGCAGTTACACCGGCAGGCCCCGGTGGCAATAAATTAATAAAACCAAAAGCTTACCTTGACTTGGAAGAGTTCCAGTGTTGGATAGCCATAGGCAGTTAGCATCCCTCTCTGTTTTAGCCAGGTGTTTGAGTAGGCTAAACTAGCTAGCTGCATTCGCTAGTTAAGTGAAAGGGGGGGGGGGGGGGGGGATATTGCTAGCTCTCTCTCTCGCTTCTCCTTCATTTTTAAAGAAATCAAGTTGTTCAAAACTATTTTACTATTGTCTTTCTGAGTCAACTACTCACCACATTTTATGCACTGCAGTGCTAGATAGCCAGCTGTAGCTTATGCTTTCAGTACTAGATTAATTCTCTGATCCTTTGATTGGGTGGACAACATGTCAGTTCATGCTGCAAGAGCTCTGATAGGTTGGAGGGTGTCCTCCGGAAGTTCTCATAATTACTGTGTAAGTCTATGGAAGGGGGTGAGAACCATTAGCCTCTTAGGTTTTGTATTGAAGTCAATGTACTTAGAAGGGGAAGGAAACTAGTTGTCCTCCATTTACACCATGGTAGAGTGCTGTTGAGGCTACTGTAGACCTTCATTGCAAACAGTGTTTTAATCAATTATTTGAATGACAATATATTTATATTTAGTTTCATCTAAAAAAGATAACTTTAATGTCTTACTATTTTTATTAAATTCACTGAGGAGGATGGTCCTCCCCTTCCTCCTCGGAGGAGCCTCCACTGTGATTGACCCATGTCTTTCTGCTTAAATCAACTGTGTTATGCTCCTGGCCTACATGGTCTGACTTTGACAATACAATCAATATGTGCGATCTCACTGCTTTTGTTTGTTCGAAAGAGTTTTATTAGCATGAAAACGTGACTACACTTTTGCTTTGTTGGGGGACATTCACAAACCTTTCCCCTCCCTCTTGGTCAGAGAAACCCAGGCAGGGCCATAATAATATGCTGGCTTTGAACCATTTACCAACTTCAACACTAGAGGGCATAGTCCCCCATGGAGAATGCACAGCATATTTTACTGCAAAATAATAGAGGAACCTCAACTTTTCATTTATAACAAGCTCAAATGAGGCATGGAGAGTTGGAGAGTCACCTTTAAAATAACAAAACATATTTACTCACAAATGTAAAGCAAACAAAACAAATCTATACATTGAGAAGCCCAAAACTGGGTTGACGCAAGACAAACAATTTAATAATCAAAAATAAATATTTCCTGAATAACTGTAGTAGATAAGCTTTACACAAGGGGATGCTACCGTTGGTACCGATTAATAATACGCATCCATCTTCCCATCTCAGCTCTAAAACACAAAAGCCTGGGAGGAGAGATGGTTTCGGTTCTGACAAGGAGTCTCGACATCAGAATTGCGCAGCATTTGTACAGACCAGACCAGTGAGAGGTCTCCAACTCCAGTCCCAGAGAGATTCTGGATGTGCAGGCTTTTGTTCCAGCCCAGCACTTACACAACTATCTAAAAAATATATATTTATCCAGTCTTCCCCCTAGATTACTTTCCAGGTGGGGTGCAAAGGCCCCCAAAGCAACATCCAGGCCTTGTGGCACTACAATTGTTGAGACACACCCAGTCAATACAATGGGTAGGGGAAACACTGAACCAATCATGGTCTTCAATCTGGCCACGGTTACCTGAATTAGGTGTTGGGAGTTGGAGAACCCTTGTACAGTGTAGCCTATACTTCAAATCAGCCTCAGCTCATGTCTTATGAGATCAATGCTTAAAAATCCCATTTGGATGATGTGAACGTCGTTGGATCAGGGAAAACCCCATTGACATTTATTGAGTCATACAAACAGGAGATCAGTGACAGTAGTCTCCCTCGCTCCTCTGTAAACTATCTACGGTGTGACACACTAGCATCAGGGGTCCATAACTCCAGTCCTCTCAGGTCTGACCTGGCTCAGTCTAATTCACCAGCTGCATGATTTTATAGGAAACCTGAGACGAGCTGGTTGTCATCTTTCTTATCTCAGTGCTTTAAACTAACAATTCAATTCGGGAAATGTTTCAGCCTATTATTTATTTAATCAGTATGCAGGGAGTACCACTTCCGCTTGAAAGCGTTACGCTGCTAGTGCACACATTTCAGATATACCTAACTTGACCTTTGATTCCCAGGTGTAAATCAGTTACTGATTGACAGTTTAAGAGGGCAAGACTTCCAACCCACTGTGACACTCAAAGACTGGAGCTGTGCATCCCTGTACTGGTGTCAACAAGGCATTCAAATTGTGTGTAACCTCAACGTACAGTAACGATTGGCAAGCCAGTTTGTCTCCTCCACAAGATGTGTTAGACCACTCTGCTAAAGCCTAGTTATTAGGTCGGGAAGCAATTGCAAGTCTTCAGCTCTCAGGCAAGTTTACGCATCATGCGAGTGTGGTTCACCAAACCACCCCATTACATATGCGCAGTACACCACGCAGGGGCAGTTAGTAGTTGGGTGAGGTGTTGGAGGGCATATTACTGACACATTCTCTTTGCTTGAAAGGTTTTGGCAGTGGGTTTAGGTTAAGGGGCTTCGCCTGGAACAGGATGCCTTGTGAGAAAGTGGACATGTTCTCATGAGAGAGAAAGACACTGTGGAAGTGGAGCACTGCGTCTTTAAATCCAGCCTAAAATTCCAGCCTGAGTGAAGGAGGAGTGGGAGGGGAGGGAGAGGTGGGCCGAGTCTCAATACTATTAAATGGCTTCCTCTCCCCCTCGCCTCCTTCCTTTATGATCACTGATCGATGGAGAATTGGATAGATTTCCAATGGCTGGAGGGGATTTTACTGAGGTGGAGGTTTATGATGGTTGGGTTGAGGTTTGGAGTGGAGATGTAGGACAGAGATTGGGTGGTAATTGGCAGAAGGAATGAAGGGCTGGGTGGTGTTTGAAGGCACGGGCAGGCCTGGGCAGATTGATTAAGTCTGGTTGGGGTGTACATTACATTGGAGGTTTGAAGGTAGGATGTACGTTTGGTGGCATGATTAAGGAGGATTTGGGATTAGGAAGATTGGGGGAGCTGGAGGTTAAAGGAGTCGAGGTTAGGAAAATGAGGTTGGAGTTGGAGGTAAAATTAATATTGTAGGTAAGAGAGGTTGTGTCGAGATTTGAGGTTCGGTATGGGGGTCTACAAGAGGACACGGGCCACCTGGGCTTGGACCTCCCCATCAGGGTGAGAGAGCAGCTGGATCAATTTGCTTTGGAGCTGGGAGGACTCGTCCAGCAGGACCCGGTACAGGCAATCCTGTCTCCTCCTCAGGGCCTCCGCCACCTGGGCAGAAGGCCTCCAGGCCTTCATGTTCCCTGCAAACATCAGTAGCCGCAAGAGAACTGCCGAGCTGGTCCGCACGTCAAACAGTAACACCACAGAGGCTGGAGCCTGGGAAGGACACAGAGAGCAACAACACAGCTCAAGTCAAGTTTAGAGCTCTAAAAAATAATGTCACAGGGGAATACTAAAGGAAGACTATGAGTCTGGCTTATGAAACTAGGTATAATATGTTCACACCCAAAGACCCAGGTGCTGAACTGAGCCAACAGGACTAGATAGTTCAAGCTTAAATGTAGGCTAAATTAACAATCATAGTAATACGAGGCCCTATCAAAGTTAATGACCATGCGTGTCTGTTTTGCTGATTTGGCTATAAATGTATGTCAGTCTTACTTGAGCTTGCACTATGTCATCCATCATATCAGGATTGGAGGATAAATTCACAAGCACTTTTAAAACTTGGATCTGTAAAGAAAAAGTAGGAATACATTCTTCAATCATAACTGGGATTTACACTGAATCACATTTGAGTTGAGTTCCTATATACACAAGCTATACAACACTCCATAAATGGCTCCTACTGTACCTGTAACACTTGGTTGCTAACAACGAGCAGAGAGAGGAGGAGGGTGATGGACCCCCTGAGTAGCTGGTGGTGGTCGTCTGTGACAGACAGGTTGGTCAGCAGCCGGAGGGCAGCCATCTGGAGGTCAGAGTTCACCGGAGACATCTCGATAAGTTCCAGCACCTGGGCCACGTACACCTGACAGACAGAGGACAGACACGTTGATTGTTAAACTGAAGAAATTGATGTAGTTAAAAACCCTATCCAGAGTGTGATAGTTTTAAAGTTATGGCCCATTTTATGTAGAGAAATTGGTATAGTAGGCAATCATAGCCCTCCTTTTCATTGCACTTCCTGCAAATCACCAGCAGAGGATATTTTATTACTAGGAGCCCAAGTGCGCTTAAGTTGAAAAATGTAGGTGCACAAAGAAATGTAGGACCACAATAATAAAAAAAAAAAGAGATATTAAAGCTATAATCTTTCATTGTTCTAGGTGCACTGGTGCGGCACATAAATAAAAAATGCCAGGTCACACAGCAAAATACAGTGGGGAAAAAAGTATTTGGTCAGCCACCAATTGTGCAAGTTCTCCCACTTAAAAAGATGAGAGTGGCCTGTAATTTACATCATAGGTACACATCAACTATGACAGACAAATTGAGAAAAAAAATTCCAGAAAATCACATTGTAGGATTTTTTATGAATTTATTTGCAAATTATGGTGGAAAATAAGTATTTGGTCACCTACAAACAAGCAAGATTTCTGTCTCTCACAGACCTGTAACTTCTTTAAGAGGCTCCTCTGTCCTCCACTCGTTACCTGTATTAATGGCACCTGTTTGAACTTGTTATCAGTATAAAAGACACCTGTCCACAACCTCAAACAGTCACACTCCAAACTCCACTATGGCCAAGACCAAAGAGCTGTCAAAGGACACCAGAAACAAAATTGTAGACCTGCACCAGGCTGGGAAGACTGAATATGCAATAGGTAAGCAGCTTGGTTTGAAGAAATCAACTGTGGGAGCAATTATTAGGAAATGGAAGACATACAAGACCACTGATAATCTCCCTCGATCTGGGGCTCCACGCAAGATCTCACCCCGTGGGGTCAAAATGATCACAAGAACGGTGAGCAAAAATCCCAGAACCACACGGGGGGACCTAGTGAATGACCTGCAGAGAGCTGGGACCAAAGTAACAAAGCCTACCATCAGAAACACACTATGCCGCCAGGGACTCAAATCCTGCAGTGCCAGACGTGTCCCCCTGCTTAAGCCAGTACATGTCCAGGCCCGTCTGAAGTTTGCTAGAGTGCATTTGGATGATCCAGAAGAGGATTAGGAGAATGTCATATGGTCAGATGAAACCAAAATAGAACTTTTTGGTAAAAACTCAACTCGTCGTGTTTGGAGGACAAAGAATGCTGAGTTGCATCCAAAGAACACCATACCTACTGTGAAGCAAAGGGACCAGGACGACTGATCCGTGTAAAGGAAAGAATGAATGGGGCCATGTATCGTGAGATTTTGAGTGAAAACCTCCTTCCATCAGCAAGGGCATTGAAGATGAAACGTGGCTGGGTCTTTCAGCATGACAATGATCCCAAACACACCGCCCGGGCAACGAAGGAGTGGCTTCGTAAGAAGCATTTCAAGGTCCTGGAGTGGCCTAGCCAGTCTCCAGATCTCAACCCCATAGAAAATCTTTGGAAGGAGTTGAAAGTCTGTGTTGCCCAGCGACAGCCCCAAAACATCACTGCTCTAGAGGAGATCTGCATGGAGGAATGGGCCAAAATACCAGCAACAGTGTGTGAAAACCTTGTGAAGACTTACAGAAAACGTTTGACCTGTGTCATTGCCAAAAAAGGGTATATAACAAAGTATTGAGAAACTTTTGTTATTGACCAAATACTTATTTTCCACCATAATTTGCAAATCAATTCATTAAAAATCCTACAATGTGATTTTCTGGATTTTTTTCTAATTTTGTCTGTCATAGTTGACGTGTACCTATGATGAAAATTACAGGCCTCTCTCGTCTTTTTAAGTGGGAGAAGTTGCACAATTGGTGGCTGACTAAATACTTTTTTCCCCCACTGTATGTGAGTAAAATGGTCACACTGTAGAGCCCTGACAGGGAGACCAATCATAACTCTAAAAGTAGAATTGATACCACTGGAACTTTGATGTGCCTGCGTAGAGTATATTATGTTCAACAATATATTGAAACCTTAGTCAAATAAAAAATTGAATATTTTCAATATTCATAAATTAACGTAAGAAAATTGTTATTGAAATCAAAATATTATTCATATTACATAGCAATCGGTAAATCTTTATATGACACCAATTTTTGCTTTGTCGTGCCTACAGATGAAACATTATGGTGTCTTAAAGGAGGCCTGAGTAAGGCCAAAATGTCACAAATGATCCAACTTCAATGAATTATTTCTCAATTATGCTTTAAGATACAAATTACAAATATATTTAAACAACCGTTCCTCCAAAGGACACTTCTATTGATTAGGCCTAGATTTCGTGAAAATCATAGTCTTGTTTTGTTCTAGTTTCGTAAGGAATCACCCATATTGCTGATACTCATCCATCCTTTCAGATGTACTATAAGTGCCTAGAGGGGTGAAGGTTTAATTTAGAATTAAGCAAAATACTAAAATAAATCTGGTGGGTTTTACCTTCAGTTGCTCTTGGTTCCGAAGGTTCATGCTCAGGTTATTCAAGGCATTCAGAGTCTGCACTCTGACCTCTGGCACAGGATCTGACAGGAAGCCAGCTATTACGTGAAGGCCCCCAAACTCACGGATGAGATCCTGGGAGGGAGAGGGGGTAGAACTTTAAGTTGGCTTGTATGTGCAATATTCCGACAGGGAACAATCATTAACCACAGGTATTTGAATCCCTTAAAAACGTATGGTACATTTCAGAAACATGACACCAATTGAATTTAACAAGAAAATACAGATCTGCCACTAAAGAGTAATGACACTGCTAGAAAGCCAAACGTGAATTGGAACATTTTATCATTTGAAACCTTTTCACAGAGTTTGAATAGAGGCAACAGACAAGCTTTAGAGAAGCCTGTCTCACCTGGTTTACAGTGAAGGCAGCAGTATTTCCTAAAGTGATGAGGATCTGGGCTCTGTCAGAAGGGTTGGGGCTGCCCTGAAGAAGTGACAGGAGCATCTTCAGGTGTTGTGGTTCCAGGCTTTCTGGTGATCTAGAGATGATGTCACCTGAGGAATAGCAGCAATGTCTTAAACTGGCCAAGTACATGTAGACAGATGGATATGCAGTACTCTTCCCATGAATCACTAGTTACTCAAGCTAGCTGGCATGTTTGTCAATCGCAAAACAAGTTCATGCTGTCAACAATGCTAGCTAGCTACCTAGCTGGCTAGCAGCAACCTTTTCAACACATGTAAGCTGCATGTTAGCTAGCGGACTTAACATGCTAATTCGCCAATTAAGGTAAGGATAACTTTTTTTATGCTCATCCACCACACCGCACGAATTTACTTCACTAGTTACCTATAAGTATCTATAAGACGTTCGATTATCTACATGAATGATTTAAACAAACCGGCTAGGTAGCTTAGTTAGCTAAAGACTTCGTAACGTAAGCTTGACAAAATGACAGGCTCAGTTGGCTCGCTAGCCAACGTTACCTCGCTAGCTAATGTTCTTACTTGATGCAACATCCACGGCCTGACTTTCGCCTCCACGAACCACATCCAACCCGGACAACTTAGCTAACAAGCTCCCTGGCTGCAGAACTATCCCACCGGGTGAGCTATTCCTGGGGCCATGACTTTCGCTGGTGGCACTTTTCTTATTTTCCTTGAAACTAGTTACACTGAGAAGTTTATAAATCCCGTAGGAGGCTCCAGCCCCGGCGACTATCCCAAGCAAAGCCTGCTTCATACTACCGAACTTGGGTATGACACTGCCATCGCCCATGCTGGAATTTCAGTGAAAATCATGAACAGATCTTCAAATACAGAACTTTAACGTGAATCATCTAGCCAAACTAAAGATTATTATGACGAATTTAACTCATTTTGCACACACGCTACTAGCTAGGTTGAAGATGACAATTTAGCTAGTTAACGTTAGCTAGCCCGTATACTTTTCCCCCAATGGCCGACCAGCTGCTTTCATGGGAGTTCCTTGTTCATGTGTTTCAAGTATGGGTAGCTGGCAACCGGAGTATGAGCGTGTGGGTGTATGGAAAGAGAATCAGCTATTTCTTCTTCTTCGATGAGGTTTAACGGCGGTTGGCATCTAATGTGTTGCATTACCGCCACCTACTAGACTGGAGTACAACTCCCTTACATTTTGCTTGAAAAATAAAATAAAGAAATACCCTACCATTTAACACTATTTATTCATTTTCATTTACGTCAATTAGCAGACGCTCTTATCCAGAGCGACTTACAAATTGGTGCATTCACCTTATAGCCAGTGGGATAATCCAGACGGGAGATGACAAGTGCCTGGATTAGGACCTGTGCCGCTTCCTGTGTAAGGCAGGGTCGTACTCTCCGAATGTTGTAGAGCATGAACCTACAGGATCGGGTCACCGCCTTGATGTTAGCGGAGAACGACAGGGTGTTGTCCAGGGTCACGCCAAGGCTCTTCGCACTCTGGGAGGAGGACACAACGGAGTTGTCAACCGTGATGGCGAGATCATGGAACGGGCAGTCCTTCCCCGGGAGGAAGAGCAGCTCCGTCTTGCCAAGGTTCAGCTTGAGGTGGTGATCCGTCATCCATACTGATATGTCTGCCACTACACTCACTAATTGAAAAATATTATTAATAATTAACACCACCCTACTTCACTATTTAAATATATTAATTCCTACCTCATGCCCTCAACCTGAAATGATGGGACATCACCACTTAACACTCCCTGTAACTATTCTGATGTCAAGTCTCGCACATCCAAATACCTCTCTGCAGCTGCCACCACAACCTCAATTTTCTTCGACTTATGTTCCATCCCTGCAGTACAATTAATAAGTATTGCTATACATCCAATCTTACTGAAACATATATCACTTGTTGGCCTATCCCTCTGTACTGGTACATATCTACTACTCTCACCACTCCCCCCCCTTGACCCATATTCCTCTACTTTCTTCACTGCCTCAGCATATGACATTTACATTACATTTTAGTCATTTAGCAGACGCTCTTATCCAGAGCGACTTACATGAGCAATTAGGGTTAAGTGCCTTGCTTAAGGGCACATCGACAGATTTTTCACCTAGTCGGCTTGGGGATTAGAACCAGCGACCTTTCGGTTACTGGCACAACGCTCTTACCCACTAAGCTACCTGCCGCCCTGTGACAACTTCTTCACTACTCTTACCCTGGAAACCTCAACCTGCCTCTCTCGCACAGGATATTTCTGATCCCCAGCCCCATGGGCACCCCTACAATTAGCACATACCACTACTTTCCCAATGCTACACATTACTTTGTCTCATGCCCTTCTGCACACTTCTCACACCTTGTAACCTCCCTCCTACACACTGCTGCCACATGCCCATAAGTTTGACACCTGTAACATCGTAATGTATTCGGCACATAAGTTTGTACACGATAACTTATATATCCTAACTTCACGTTGTCAGGCAAAGACTCAACTTCAAAACTCAAAAGAACAGACAATGACTCTTCAGTTTCCCCACTCTCGCCACCCTGTTTGCGTCACACCAAACGACGAGCATCACAAACACCGGGAATCTTCCCCCTCAGTTGGTCAACTTTTACATTTACTGCTACCCCAGTAATCACTCCTTTCAATGGCGCCCTTTTCTTGAGAGCGAAACAATTCACAATTCTTTCCCCCATTTGTTTAACTCTGAGCGCCTTCTCCCTCTGACCAACAGAAACACAAACAATTATCGCTCTTCTTCGTCTTCTTCTTTTTTCTTCAGTGGGGTTTATCGGCGGTTGGCATCCAACGTTATGGTGCATTACCGCCACCTACTGTACTGGAGTGTGGGCCAGAGACGGAGAAACTAAATCCTACCTACCTGCCAGCCCCGTTTCTCTTAAAAAAGATAACAAAATATTTGAGACTATATCTAATGACGTTCTACTCATTATACTCTTTGAATTAATTTCCTGTATCCCCTTCTCCCTCATACTAGATCTCATCCTCTCTCTTTCCCTCTGATACTGCCCACACTGTAGCAATACATGCTCCATGGTCTCTGTTTCCTGACAATAATCACACTTTCCTTTTGGATGCTTTCCTATCACATTTAATTTCTTATTCAACTGGCTGTGTCCCACCCTTAATCTTGTAAAAATAGCCTCCTCTCTTCTGTCCCTTTCTGCCGTCCTCCCCTCGCCGACTTTCCTCTGTACTTGAAATAAATGCCTTCCCTTATTATCTCTGTTCCACTGCTCCTGCCACCTCTGCACCATCACTGTATATATCAGTCTTTTTGCCTCTGCCTTGCTCATTGAAACTTTAACATCAACATCCCCACTACTAAGTGCTTGTTTAGCCTGTTCATCTACTGCCTCGATCCCCTCCACCCCCACATGGGCTGGGACCCAAGTAAATCTTATCTGAATACCCATCTGTTTAATCCTGCCATGGGTTTCTAGCACCACATAAAGCAGGTCTTGTCTGCTACGCGAGCTAAAGGACTGGAGACTCATTAACACTACACATGAATCAGAGCAAATAACTACTCTGTCTTGTTTGACTTCCTCCACCAACTGCAAGGCCAACAGTATGGCCATCAGCTCCGCCGTTTATACAGCCAGGTGATCTGTAATACATTTCCTGACTTCCACCCCACATTACCTGGAATAGTATAAAAGTCATCCTTCTACCCCCACCCCCCCCTCCCCCACCCCCCCATAAAAAAAGGGAAAAAAAGTGGTGTCCACTTATCATAAGTAATCAATTTCAAGTCGCTCTGGATAGATGCTAATGACGTAATGTAATTCGATACAATGCTGACCCAACAATCAAACTAATTGTTTTCTTCTCTATGGTTTATATAATCAAAAGTATTGCCGCCACAATGACGGTGCCAAGTATCCATACTTAAATGATTCTACAATCCACTAATAAAAATATACATGCAAAACAAACAAAACTTCTTCTCTCCCTTCTCAGCTGTAGGACCTGAGAAGGTGGTACAGCTTTGCTATAATTGCCTGTAACTCATTTGCCGGTAACATGTGTTCATGCCCCAGGGGAACCGCTCCGCCTCAATCACAATGATTTCTATCTTCCTAGGACTTTTCTCCACCTTGGCCATGCTCTACCAACTGAGCTACAGGGGACTCAACATGTGTAAATATTTGTATGAACATAACAAGATTCAACAACTGAGACATAAACTGAACAAGTTCCACAGACATGTTACTAACAGAAATTGAATAATGTGTCCCTGAACAAAGGGGGGGTCAAAATCAAATCCTCATGGACTGCACCAGATTTGCCAGTTCTTGCTGTGAGATGTTACCCCACTCTTACACCAAGGCACCTGCAAGTTCCCGGACATCTCTGGGGGGAACGGCCCTAGCCCTCACCCTCCAATCCAACAGGTCCCAGACGTTCTCAATGTGATTGAGATCCGGGTTCTTCGCTGGCCATGGCAGAACACTGACATTCCTGTCTTGTAGACCATCACCCCTGGTGAGACAAAACCGCGACACTTTTTGCCAGTCCTGTCTAGTCCAGCGATGGTGGGTTTGTGCCCATAGGTGACGTTGTTGCCGGTGATGTCTGGTGAGGACCTGCCTTACAACAGGTCTACAAGCCCTCAGTCCAGCCTCTCTCAGCCTATTGCGGACAGTCTGAGCACTGATGGAGGGATTATGCGTTCCTGGTGTAACTCGGACAGTTGTTGTTGCCATCCTGTACCTGTCCCGCAGGTGTGATGTTCGGATGTACCGATCCTGTGCAGGTGTTGTTACACGTGGTCTGCCACTGTGAGGACGATCAGCTGTCCATCCTGTCTTCCTGTAGCGCTGTCTTAGGCTTCTCACAGTATAGACATTGCAATTTATTGCCCTGGCCACATCTGCAGTCCTCATGCCTCCTTGCAGCATGCCTAAGGCATGTTCATGCAGATGAGCAGGGACCCTGGGCATCTTTCTTTTGGTGTTTTTCAGAATCAGTAGAAAGGCCTCTTTAGTGTCCTAAGTTTTCATAACTGTGACCTTAATTGCCTACCGTCTGTAAGCTGTTAGTGTTTTAATGACCGTTGTCGTAGTAAATATATAATGTTATAGCTTGGTCTGACTAAAATCTTGTGCATGACCCATTTTGTGTTGGGCGTTTGTTTTCAATCAATGCTGTTCCTATCCTATAACAATGGACAAAGGAGTTCTATCTTGTCAGCCTTGTCAGCAGGTGGCCAAGGACAAAACCCACGCCATAGGTCTCTCAGTTCTTCCAACTCACGAGTTCTTGCTCTGAGGACACACACACACACACATCATCACTGATAACACACACACACACACACACACACACACACACACACACACATCATCACTGATAACACACACATCATCATCACTGATAACACACACACACACACACACACACACACACACACACACACACACACACATCATCACTGTTAAACACACACACAAATCCCCTTCCTTTAGGCTGAACATTTGAAGACAGAGAACCCGACTCAGAGCCAATGCAACAGTGGAGGGGACCTCGCCCAACTCATCAGGACCAATCAGAAGATCAGAACTACTAGATTCAACCTACATCATTTACTGTATAAAATGTCTGCACTCCACAGGTGCATGTTCATTAATTGTTTATGGTTCATTGAACAAGCATGGGAAACAGTGTTTAAACCCTTTACAATGAAGATCTGTGAAGTTATTTGGATGTTTACGAATTATATTTGAAAGACAGGGTCTTGAAAAAGGGATGTTTCTTTTTTTGCTGAGTTTAGTTCTATGAGTTTTAGTTTAGAAAACGATCTCTCCGCCGAAGCGATAGTTACAGGGATGGTAAAAACCGCTTGATTGCCGTAGCAACATCAGGGAAACAGAAGGGAGTGGTGCTTCAAATACAGCAGTTCTGCAACATCTTTAATTGAGCCTCTCATTCTCCTTAATTGCCGGCCTCAACACGTTATGGAAAGAAATTACATGTATTGGATGCTCTTGGGACAGGTCGTCTGGAGACTGG